AAACATTGGATCCAAAAAGTTCAAGGAATCTCAAACAGGATAAATTCAAAAGAAATTCACAATTGGACACATCCTGTGAAATTGCATACTGTCAAAGAAAAAGGAATGATTTTTAAAAGAAACTAGAAGGACAAAAAGATCACAATAGATAACACTTAGATCGACATTCTATTTCTTAGCAATGATAATGGAAGCCACGAGTGGAATATGTTTGATGTGCTAAGAGAAAATAATTATCAATCCAGGGGAACTCTCTGTTAAGAAGCATGGCAAAATAAATTTCTTTTCAGGTAAACAAAACTTTAGAGTTAATCAATATAGAGTTCTTTTTACTGAAAGAGGTTTCAAAGATGTTCTTCAAATAAACAGAAATTCATTTGAGATTTAAAATCAGTAACCATTATAAATGCAAATAGAGTAACTTGTCAGTAAAATGCAAAGATTATTGGAATGGTTAAAAAGTACAAATCTAGTTCTTTGTTGTTTTCTAAAGACATATCTTAAAGCAGAAAATTTCAAAGTCATAGGATATACAAAAAGATTTAAGGATTATCAGAACATAAAGGAAACTGGAGTAGTTATTTTAATATCAAATAAAAAGATATACAGAATCCCATAGGCTGTGGAGGTAGGAGAATGGGGATTGAAGAGAAGAAAGCAAGAAGGAGAGAGAGGTATCTTACATGGATCATTATGATAAGGTGTCATCATTCAAGGACTATGAGTAATTTAAACCTCTGAATTTGAAATTCACAAAGAGGGGGATACAATAATAATATGGGGACATTAGGAGCAACCGTAGGCCAATAAATTTGACAACTTAAATGAAATGAAAAAATCCTTAGAACAACTTTACGTACCTGAACTGACTTGAGAAAAAATAGAACACCTGAATAGTCCTTTGTAATCATTACAAAATTTAAATCAGTAGTTTAAAATATTCCTATAAGGTAAACAACATAACCAGATGGATTTACAGGTCAGATCAGTAAAACATTCAAGAAACAGATAATTCCAACCTTGCACAATTTCTTCCTGAAAATAGAATGAGTAGGAAAATTTATTTGATGAAGTTAGCATAATTTAAACACCAGACTCGGGCAAAGACAGCACTATAAGCAAGGAAAATTATAGACAAATACAATTTATGTCAGAGATGCAAAAATTCTAAATAAAATATTAATAAAATGCCAAAATATAACAAAAAAGATACCATGACCAAGCTGGGTTTATCTCAGGAATGTAAATAAGATTTATTAATAGAAATAAAATTTATTGAATAAAATTATTAATAACTTAGAAAACATGTCATCAGGCATTTTAAATTAAATGAGACAAATTATGTGGTTATCTCTCTAGATATAGAAAAGTGTATAATAAACATTTATTTATGATAAAGATCTGTGAGTGAACTAGAAATTGAAAGGACCTTTCTTTACTTAATATGGTGCATCTTGGAAAAACCTACAGCAAACATCATATATAATGGTGAAATGTTGAAAGCATTTGTTTTAAAATGCCTTCAGGTATATAGTGTAAGAAGTAAAGGACAGAAGTCAAAACCATGAGAAAACGACTGCGATAATCCAGGCAAGAGCTGTTGGTATCTGGACCAGAGTGAGAGCTATGGAAGGGGGTGTGAAGTGGTTGATTTTGAAAACAGAGCAGCCAGGATTTGCTGATAAATCAGATGTAGAGAGCGAGAGACGGTGAGAGCTCAAGGACCATCCCCAAGTTTCTGTCTGAGCTCCCAGAAAGATTGTGGTGCTATTACTGAGAAGGAAAGGATGGGAGGGGGTAGTCAAGCTTTGGGTGGGCAACAATTAGGAGCTCTGCAAAATGTAGAGTTTGGATGTCTGTAGACACCCAGTGGAGATGTCAGTAGGGCATCTGTTAAGAGGAGATGGGAGTTCAGGAGAGAGGAATAAAAAATTGGGTATTGTTAATGTATATAGGTTTTAAAAAGCATATTATGAGTTACAAGCCTTGTGATATAGAGTCATGGCGGTGGGGAGGGGCGTTCTTAAGATTGGGGGAGTTAGGAGCAACTGAAGGTGAAAATATGAGCCAGCCGTGGGAAAATCAGGAGTGTTGCAGACAATGGGAACCGCGATGCAAAGATCCTGAAGGGGACCTCTTGGGTGGGTGTTTTCCAGACATGGCCTCCGTGAGGACTCTCCACCACTCTGAGAAACTGGCATCGTTAGCCCAAGGCTCCTAGAAGGTCAGAGCCTTGCTCAGGTCAGCCTTTAGGCTAGTGGTTCTAAAAGGAAGAATTCTGGAGGCAATGGCGCCCTCTGCTGGCCAGGACAGATATCGGCTCCATTTACAACAATAATATCGATCGTTATTATATAGATTATAATATATATTTTACATAACATAATGTATGTTGTATATTACTTAACAAATTGTATTACATATCGCTATTATTAGTAGTGGAACACATCCTAGTGCTTAATAAATCCGTGACCCAGCCTCTCCCATCTCTGTGCGGCATAGAGGCTGGCACTAGGGGGGAAGTATACTGTAGGTTTTCATTGAATGAACCAATAGATGTGGCCAGTTTCTGGACCTCAGTTTCCCCTTCTGTAAATCTAGGATTCTTGCTTTAATTGCATAAGCTAATGTTGATTGAGCACGTACTATGTGCTAGGTCCTATTCTAAGCACCTGGGACAAAGCAATAAACAAGACAGACGAAAGCCTGTGCCAGGCCACGTGTAAAGATCTATACACGCCTATCCTTCTCAATATTCACAATGTCCTTATGCTGAGTCTATTAGTCGCCCCATTTTATGGAGGTGAAAATTAAGGCTTACAGAGGCTTTGATTGTAGAGCAAGGAAGCAGCAGGGATCGAACTTGAACTCAAGAGAATTAAAAAATTTTCTTTTTCGTTTAAAGTTAACATACGATTTTAGTTTCAGGTGTAGAACATAGTGATTAGACATTTATGTAACTTACAAAGTGATCACAAGACAATTTTTTATACTCTGTAGCAGTGCTCTGCAGGTGGCAATGGACTGGGAGCTCAGACGGTTGGAGCAGGACCGTAGCTGTTGCTATGGTCCCCCTGACGCTATCCCAGGGCTTCAGCCTGTTCCGCATCACATGACTTTAGCCAATATGGCACCGCCCAGGGTGTTTCATTGCCCACGTGGTGCTGGCGGGCAAGATGGCGGCGGCAGTCAGCCCAACTTCTTTGGAGTCGGCACCGAGGATCTTCCGCCTGGTGGCCGAGTGCAGCCGCTCCCGGGCTCGGGCAGGCGAGCTGCAGTTGCCGCACGGGCCGGTGGCCACTCCAGTGTTCATGCCAGTGGGCACGCAGGCCACCATGAAGGGCATCACAGCGGAGCAGCTGGACGCGCTGGGCTGCCGCATCTGCCTGGGCAACACCTACCATCTGGGTCTGAGGCCGGTGGGTGGGCTCTGCCCGTCCAAGGTGGTGGCGGAGCATAGGGAGCCCTGGGGCATCCCCACGGCCCGGGCACGCTTTCAAAAGTCAATCGACAAACGCTTATTGAACACCCCGGGTAGAGCAGGCCTGTGCTGGGCGTGAGGGAGCGGCAGGGACCGAAGTTGGCCATCCCTGTCTCCTCACATGAGCTCCCATGGTCGCGCTCGCCTCTAACCTGTCCCTTACCCTCCAACAACCCAGGGCCCCGAGCTGATTCAGAAGGCCAACGGTCTCCACGGTTTCATGAATTGGCCCCACAATCTGCTGACGGTGAGATGGGGTCGGAGCGGGGATGCGAGGGCACCCCTCGGCGGCGAATCTCCCGTAACCCCTTTCCTGACTGCCCTGCGGTGGGGTTTCCCCTAGGACAGCGGCGGCTTCCAAATGGTGTCCCTGGTGTCCCTGTCCGAGGTGACGGAAGAGGGCGTCCGCTTCCGCTCTCCCTACGACGGCGACGAGACCCTTCTGAGCCCGGAGAAGTCCGTGGAGATCCAGAACGCCCTGGGTGAGCAGATCCCAGCGAGCCGTCCCTTCCCCTCTTTCTCTGATAGATGTGAGGCGGGCCGCCTCCTTTCATGCTGCGTGGCTTTGGGCAATTCACTCCCCTTCCCTGGGCTTCAGTTGAGGCAAATTAAATGCGGATAGTTAATAAGATTCATGATGTGAAGTTGCTAAATCTCGGTACAGTGCCTAGCATGTAGTGAGTTTTATTCTTATCCTTATTGCTATTATTACTTTAAAACTGCAAATTAATTGGGCAAAGATACGTTGAAATAATGGAGGCAACAGGAGGAGATTGGGGATATTTTAGGCCCCTCCCATCTCCGTCCATATCCCGCATTCCTTGATAAGGACAATGAACATTTTCTCAATCTTGTAAAGTGCTAAGAAACACAGGCTCAAACCTTCCTATCTTCCAACCAATTGGTGTTTTTAAGTCCCTCCATATGGAGATTCTTTGGCTTCCATTCATACAGTCATAGAGCTGAGTGTCACATTATCCATGGAACTTACAGTCCATAAGGAAGACAGGCATTGGTGAGGTCACAATTAGAAAAGAGAAAAAAAAAAAAAAACAGTGCAGATAAACAGTGTTGTATGTTTCCATTTGTTTGAAAAACACATATATGACTTGCTTATGTTTCTGGAAACTAATATAGGTTCCCTGGGAGAGGGATATTGGGAGCTGGTAGACAGGTGGGTTGCCGCCTTTGTTTTTCTTTTCTTTAAATTGGGGTATAATTGACTTGCAATCAACTTACTGTATTTAAGGTGTACCCTCTGACAGGTTTTGACATGTTTCCATCCATGAGAAGTTCACCACAATCGAAATAGAGAACATATCCATCACCCCTAAAAGTTTACTCATACCCTTCCCTCGGTGAGCAAGAGACTTCACTGAATATCCTGTTGTATTTTTAAAAATTTGAGGGTACTTTTCAACATTTAGAACCATGTGCATGTATTACTTTTTTAAAAAATGTTATTTAAAAAAAATTTTAATGGTACATATAAATAAAAAGTTGGGACCATGACTGTGAAGGCTAAGTCCATGGAACTATTAGACATGATTCAGTCTGCAGGCTCAGGGAATGCTGCCCGAGGCCTAAAATCTGTGGAGCAGGAATAACCTAAGTGTCCAAAGGGAGAAAGTGTGTTCTGGAAAGAGGAAGCAGCCAGTGCAAAGAACCTGAGCCAGGACCAAGGCTGACATGTTGGAGGAATAGTAAGGAGGCCTGTTCTTCTGGAACGGAGTGAGGGAAGGAGGAGAGTAGGAGGTGAGGACAGAGAGGTGACTCAGGCAGGTCCTGCGGGACCTTGTGAGTTTGATTTGTCCTTTAAAGAAAAAAATTAAACAAGAAAACATTTTGCATACATTTCTATACAAACATGTGTGCAGAAAACAATGCCCTTCTCACGCCTGTCCTCTATCCATCTCCATCACTTCCACGGGCTACCAATGTTTCAATTTTCTTACATATTCTTTCAGAGTTTATGTAAATAGAAGCAAATTCAAATCTATTCTAAGTTTTCTAATTATGAGTACATGCTATTTATGACACATTCTTCTGTATTTTGCATAGTTTTAATTATGAAAAATTTCTGTTATATGCAAAAACAGACATAACACCATCCGTTACCCACAACCATTGCCACAATCTAATTTCAGAACACTTTTATCACCCCCAAAAGAAATCCCATACCCATTATCAGTCACTCTCTATTCCTCCATCTCCAAAGCCTAACTAATCTCCTTTCTATCTCTACAGATTTGCATAATCTAGACTTTCATTTACATTATTTGCATAATGTAAATGAAATCATACGACATGTGGTCTTTTGTGAATGGCTTCTTAGTATAGTGTTTCTGAGGTTTATCTATTTTATAGTATGATCAGTACTTAATTCCTTTTTATAGCCAAATAATATAATGTTTGCTTCACTAATTTTTAAAAAATAGTTGCAATCTTACATATCTTGTTTATTTTTTAATTAAAATTTTTTTTTTTGCTTTAGTCTTCTTTTTTTAGCTTTTTAATTTTCTTGGATCATCTGTTATATATCAAACTAAATCTCAGACATTCTTTCATTTCATCTGTAAGTATTTTAATTTGTATCTCTAACATAGGAGATGATTTTTTTTAAACACAATCACAATACCATCGTCCCACCTAAAAACAATGAACAATAATTGATTAACATCATCAAATATCTGGCCAGTATACCAAGTTTCATACATGACATACTTATGAAACATTTATGACATATTAATAAGATAATTGTTTTATAAATGACATTTTTTTTCCATAAAAATAGTCTGTTTATTTCAGGGTCCAAAAAATATGCAGAAACTACAATTGTTTGAAAGGTCTCATAAGTCTCTTTTAACATATATTACGTATTATATAGTTTCTTTTTTTTGTTTGTTTGCAATTTGCTTCTTGAAGAAACTGGTTTCTTTGCCCTATAGTGTTTCACATGGTCTGATTTTTGTTGATCACTTCCCCATGGTGTCAAGTAAGAGTTTTTTTCTTCCACCTAGATTTCCTGTAGGTAGGTAGGTACTTGGATGTAGAGATTTGAGCCAGATTCAAGGTTTTGTTCCTTTTCGCAAGAGGTGTCACTGTTTGCATTTCCATCAGGTGGCGCCTGTTGACTGCCTTTTTCTCCCAGTGAGCCATCCATGCTCCTTGCCTAGGACCATTATGCCACTAAGTTGCAAAATGATGATGTTCTAATTCTGTCATTCTTTCTTCATTTATTATCCAGATTACTTCTTTAAAGAGACCTGTCTCTCACCTACTCCTGGGAGACCAAATAGTTTACTTTATGTAGGAAATGTGGGATTTATTCTCTTCCCTTATTTACCAGTTTTCATGGGTTGATTACTTAGCATCCTCTACTAGGGACAAACTAATGTTTAGATTTTTAGGCTCACCATAAACACGTGGGTTTTGTTGTGTCTCAGCCCATTGCGGTTGGATCAATCCTTAGTGTCAAATCACCCCATCTTTGGCTCGTGTGGTGTACCGTGGTTTTTTCCTATAATGATCTATATTGGCAATATTTCTTTGAGTTTTTCTAACATATAAGCCCACAGTGTCTAATCTGAAATTCTTAGGGCCGGATAGGTGTCAGAATTTTCACATTTTAGAAAGATAATAGAGGGTACATACCGTTTATTACACAGCATCTCCATGGGGTCTGGGGCAGTATCCTGTGGTATTACACCTCTTTTTTTTTTTTTTCAGTTAAAATTGTGGTAAAATACACATACATAAAATTTACCATTATCCACTTTTAAGTGGTTCAGTGACATTAAGTATTCATGTTATTGTGCAACAATCCCCATCATCCATCTTCAGAACTCTTTTCATCTTGCTAAATTAAAACTGTCCCCTTAAACAATACCTCCCCATTCCTCTCTCCCCCGCCGCCTCTGGCACCCACCCTCTACTCTAAGAATTTGCCTACTCTAGGGACCTCATATAAGTGGGATCATATAGTATTTATCTTTTTCGATAATCTTTATTTATCTTTATCTTTATTTCACTCAGCATAATGTCCTCAGGGTTCATCCATGTTATAGCATGTGTCAGAATTTCCTTCCTTTTCAAGACTGCATAATATTCCATTGTGTGTCTGGATCACATTTTGTTTATCTGATCATCTGTCAAAGGACATGTGTGTCGCTTTCACTCTTTGGCTGTTGTGAATAATACTATGAAATGGGTGTGCAAATATCTTATTAAGACTCTGCTTTTTTTTCCCCCCGAGACTCTGCTTTTAATTCTTTTGTGTATATACCCAGAAGTGGAATTGCTGGATCATTTGGTATACACTTCACTTTTGTTGGATTAACACTTGATGAATCTTCATACTAAATTGGATTTTTGAAAGGATTATAACCATCTTGGGTTTTGCTGCCAAATGAGTTTGCCATGAACATAAGAAAAAGCCTTGATTTTGAGAAGTGTCTGGGTTTTGGAATGGTGTGGGGAAAGCACATTCTGTTAAGGGCTGGACCATGGTTTATTTACTTAGACTTCTGCTGATGGACACCTGGGTTCCCATCTTGCTATTGTTCGCTATGCCACGGATGAATCACTTTGTACCTGTGATGTTTTGTTCTTAAAGGGTAAATTCGCAGAAGTGGGATTGATTTTATTCTACGTGCCATGCGGGTGGCGGGGGGTGGGGGGCAGGTAGCTGGGAGAGGCAAGAGCAGATGGGCATTTTGAAAGCTCCCTCTGGCTGTTGTATAAACAGTTGAGGGGTTAAGTGGGAATCAGCAAGACCCAAGGAGGGACTTCTGGGGTCCAGTTTGTTCCCAACAGGAGGCTTTCCTAGTGACGGTGCCCCATTCTTACTCCCCAGGCTCAGACATCATCATGCAGCTGGATGACGTGGTCAGCAGCACTGTGACGGGGCCACGTGTAGAAGAGGCCATGTACAGGTGTGTTTGTGTTAGGGGAGGGGATCCTGGTCCTGCAGTCTTGTCTCCCTACTCCTCACCCGGCCCAAATGGCTAACTGGTCCTCCTGCAGATCAATCCGCTGGCTGGACCGGTGCATCGCAGCCCATCGGCGTCAGGACAAGCAAAATCTCTTCGCCATCATCCAGGGTGGGCTGGATGCAGATCTCCGGGCCACCTGCTTGGAAGGTAGAGCTATGTGAGGGCAGGACCGGGGCACTGTCACATCTCCGAGGGTCCCATATGGGCTTGGCATGCGACGGTTCTGAGGTAGCGTTGTTAATGGGCGAAAGGGCACTCGGGGTGGAAGGAACAGCTGAAGCGAAGGCACAGAGCCAGAACGGAGTAGAATGTTTGCAGAATAATAGTAATTCCAATAGCCATCAATATCTGGGTGTTTACCTGCCACTATGCCAAGTTCTGGTCACGGATTGACCCATTGAGTTCTCATCATCATCCTCTAAAGTGAGAACTATCAGGTTCCTGAGGTCACAGAAGGGGTAACTGAGACACAGAGCTGTTAAGTCACTTACCCCAAGCCAGACAGCTTGGACGTTGCAGAGCTGGGATTTGGACCCAGGCCTCGAGCTCTAGAACCTGCAGCATTAAGCGATACACTGAGTTGCTGGAGAGCTATGGAGGGCTGTTGAGTGGGAGAGTGATGGGAACCAATGGGAACCATAGCAAAATCCCAGTAGGACAGGAAGCAGAAGGCCCATGAGGAGGCTGGAGTAGTTAGTTGCCCAGAGGGAGGACGACAGTGAGGCCTAAACCAAGGCTGTGGCTGTGGAGTTGAAGGGGAGGCAGAGATGGGGACAGAGAGGAGGAGGCGGAGGAAGAAGAGGAGGATCAGCATTTCCTGTTGCCTGGTCATCCCTCACCCTGCCCTGTGCCCCCAGAGATGACCAAGAGGGACGTGCCTGGCTTTGCCATTGGAGGCCTGAGTGGGGGTGAGAGCAAGAGCCAGTTCTGGAGGATGGTGGCGCTCAGCACCTCGAGGTTGCCTAAGGACAAGCCCCGATACCTCATGGGGGTCGGGTATGTCTAAAGGTGGGGAGACAGCCCTACCTGTGAGGCGTGGATTCCTGGGGACCCCCTGCTCGCTGGTGTGGTGGGGAGGATACAGCCCTGCCTGGGAGGAGACTAAGGAAGATGTGGCCCTCTGCTGGGGGTGCTTCTGTGGGTCCCAGTCCAGGGGGAGCCAGAGGGTTGGGAGGGGGACCTGGATGTGTGACCAGGGCTTGAGGTACTGTTCTCCCCTCCCCCCATGGCCCCACTCCCAGCTATGCCACTGATCTGGTGGTCTGCGTGGCTCTTGGATGCGATATGTTCGACTGTGTTTTCCCCACACGGACAGCGGTGAGGCTCTGGGCAGCAGGGGTGGGGCCTGCGGGATACCAACGTGGGGATAGGGCCAGGGAGGGCGAAGACTTGGTTGACCTGCTTTTCCTTTCCCCTTTCGTCCCCCAGCGCTTTGGCTCTGCCCTGGTGCCCACGGGGAACCTGCAGCTGAAGAAGAAGCAGTTCCAGAAGGACTTCCGCCCCATAGACCCCGAGTGTACCTGTGCCACCTGCCAGAAGTAGGGGAGGTTGGGGCCTTGGGGGCTGAGAAGGGTGTGGAGGTGGGGCAAGACCCTATATTGCTGAGCCCCAACCTCCTGTCCCCAGGCACAGTCGGGCCTTCCTGCACGCACTACTCCACAGTGACAACACTGCCGCCCTGCACCACCTCACTGTTCACAACATCGCCTACCAGGTGGGCTCGTGGCCTGGGTGGGCAAGGCAGGGGTGGGGGCGGGGGTCTCCTGGGTGCAAGTGGCTGACGCTGATGCTGACACCTCCGCCCTATAGCTGCGGCTGATGGGTGCCGTGCGTGCCAGCATCGTGGAGAAACGCTTTCCTGAATTCGTGAGGGACTTCATGGGCACCATGTATGGGGACCCTACCCTCTGTCCCACCTGGGCCACTGAAGCCCTGGCTTCTGTGGGAATCACACTGAGTTGATTTGGCTTGTGGGGAGGGAGGGAGGGGATGGAAGATATTGAAGGATTTTGTTTTTTATTATAACTTAGAGTGTGTCTGTGCCTTCTTGGGGAGGTGGCCTGCCTTGATCCCCTTCCTGGTCTGAGTGTCGCTGTGGCTGATGTCCCTTGCCTCCCATCGATGATGATAACTAGTAACCATAGCAACAGTTGGTATCTGGAAAACAGCTGGCACAGTGTAGCATCTAGGAAGTGCCCCAGAGTTGGAGCTGCATTCTTTTTCCTGTGGCTCGGGGCCCCCAGCCACTCTGGGTGTGGGCACTCTTGTCCTCTCCCTTTTCACGATGAGGAAACAGCATCAGAGAGGGGAAGTAGCTTTCCCAAGGTCACCACTGAGGAAGTAACAGCCTGGCTCCAGAACTCATGCCCCTAGCCTTGACTCTTCAAACATGTGGCTTAACCTTGCTGTCAGTAAGCACAGTGATAATGGCAATAGGTATGATCTTAGTAGGTTCTTGCACTGTGCCTGGCCCTGTTCTAAACGGTTGTCCTATATATTTCTTGCAACTTTATGATATGCATGAATAGCTACGTTCCCCATTTTACAGATGATGAAAACAAAGTTCAGGGTAATGAAATCACTTGGTCATTATCACCCAGCAAATAACAGACCTAGGATCTTACCCAGATATAGCCTGTTTCAGAGCTGGTGCTTTTAGAAGACAAGGGTTTTTAAATTGAAAAAGTAATACATATGTAGGATCCACTATTCAAATAGCCTGCAAATGCAACTTTTTTGAACAGTTTGTGTATTCTTCCAGAAATTTTCTATGTGTAAAAATTATTCATGAATGTCAGTGTCCTTTACATGCAGTTCTGTACCTTGCTTTTTTCCTGAGTATATTTCAAATTGTTTACATGTCAGTACATGAAGACTGCCTCATCTTTTTTACAGCTGCTGCATAGTAGTTATTTAATTAGCTCTACGGATGAGCAGTTAAGAGTGTTTTCAGGTTTCTGCTATTCTAGTCGAGGCTGCAATGCCAAACCTTTTTGGTTGTCTTTTTGCCCGTCTCTCTGAGACTTGGGTTTGGGTCTTGGCCACTCCGCCGTCCTCCTTTCCACTGTTTCTCCAATCAGCCCACTTTCCCACCTCCATTGCTCCTGACTCCCTACTAGGCCACTTCTCTATTCTCTGAACTCCTCAATTTCTTTCTGACTCATCTAATCCCAGAGGGATCAAATCACTTCTTAATAACATGTCTTTTCGTGGGCAGAGGATATGTTGAGTTTATTTGCATACTCAAAAAGATCATTATGTTCTAAAAGTTGAAGAGGCAGGGGAACAACATTGGATGCGTTATCATCATCAATACGGGGAATGAGCGCAAAGGCGTGGAGGTGTGACTTTCTGTAGGAATGAAAATGGGAGACGACAATCCAATGCTACATCGCCTCTCCCTAGGAACCACTAACATATCCGGACTCTCACCTTCAAAACGCACTGGAACTCTGCTCAGAGAGTATCTTTTGCAAGCCGGGGGCCAAGATGCATTCTGGGGCTTGTAGTTTTCTTCAGAGGCCGGAAATTCGCAAGTGACGGTCACCACCGGCTCCCACCACAAGATGTCGCCCTTCGGCGAGTACGGTGGGCTTTATGCCCTGCTCCGGAAGACTCTTAATAGACATACAATCACGAGTTAAGAACGGGAGGTTGTAGATTGACAGATACAGTTCTCAATCAGAGTCAAACTGTCTATCGGCCTTGACAGCTCGATACCTGCCGCTATTGGCTCTCCCTTAACAGCGACAGTTCTTAGGTCCAATGAGCCTGCGAGAAGGTCCCCAGGGGAAGGCTCACTGAGCCGCAAGTCTGTGCCTCGCTTTCATTGGCTCGTGTGCACGAGTGACAGCGCGGTTGGCCAATCGGGGGTGGCGCGAGGGCTTCGGGCGCAGCCCCGGGGCCGGGCGGGAGGTCGCTCGGGTCGGGAGTCGCCTGAGAACCGGATGAAGTGGCGACCGTGAGGCCGAGCCGGGAGCGGGCATCGCGCCGAGGCCCAGGCGGGCGGGGAGCAACGGCCGCGGACGCCTCGGGGCCGCGTCGTTGAGGGCTGAGGGCGGGAGGGGAGCGCGGGGCGCTCAGGCCAGGGCCGCCGGCGCCATGGGCAACCGCGGGATGGAAGAACTGATCCCGCTGGTCAACAAGCTGCAGGACGCCTTCAGCTCCATCGGCCAGAGCTGCCACCTGGACCTGCCGCAGATCGCCGTGGTGGGCGGCCAGAGCGCCGGCAAGAGCTCAGTACTCGAGAACTTTGTGGGCCGGTGAGCGAGCGCGGCAGCGACGGCGGG